TGCCAGTGTTTGGATTAGCATGATAATGTTCACACAACGCATTGTTTGGATAGTTTTTTGGGCACTGGAAAGGGCAAAGCGGTCCAGGAGCCACTGGAATCGGTGGAAAAAAATCTGCAGCTCCCTGCAGCGGGCACTGGATCCTGCCCACACCACGCAGGGGCTGCCAGGGAATGGGGGAGCAACAACGAGGCCGTTCCACGTAGGACACAAAAGATGGGTTTGCCCTCAAAGCTGGGACATCAGAACAATAAAAAAAGGGGTTGCATTTATCCCCCGCTGGAAATCTCCAAAAACCCCCCAAAAAATCACCCTGCAAGGTCTTATTTCCGGACTGCTGAGGAAAGCAGGATGTTTAGTTAACTCCTTGAGGTGAAATCCAAGGATTTCTGGGGGGTCTTTTCAATCCACGTCCTCCCCTGGCACAAGGGAGCTCACAGCACCATCAACAGTCCTCATTCCCTTCTTCCCAGGGAGACCCTGATGGCAGAGAAAGACCCCAGAAAAAGAAATAAATAATGACATTATGGGCACCAATAAATTCCCCAGCAGACCTGGAGTTGCCCCTGCAGCTGTTTTTGGGGGGAAGTCCAAGAGTCACCACCAGTAACTGGGAAACCCAAGCTGATCCCACTGACATTTTCCCTTCACGCCCTGTTAATTAATTCCCTGCAGCTGGAATGCCCTGGATTTCAGCTCCAGGGGAGTGGAGAAGATAAATGGGATGGTGTGAGACTGTTAGAGGCGTTCAGGTCCCAAAATCCCTGTTTATCTAAGCAGGAATCCTCCTTCCCCGAGGGAATTTGTACCCAGCAGGAGCAGAGGCATCAGGGGGTGTTTTATCCCTGTTTAAGGGCAGGAATATCGGTGGTACCAGTCCTCTCCCTCCTTTTCCTCTGCCTCAGGTTGTGTTTCTGTGTCATTGTAACTCCACCTGGGCCCTCAGGGAATCCCTGGAGTTCCATCCTACCCTTTCCCCGGCCAATTAAACATCACGGAATGGCGGAACCCTCGAGGTTGGAAAAGCCCTCCCAGACCCTTTAACATCAGGAAACCACGACCCAGAGGGGCTGATCAAAGCCAGGCATTGTCCCTCAGACAGGAGGAATCCCAGGGAGCTGAGACCAGATTTCCCCGGGGGGTTTATCCATAAATCCTCTCCCTCCCTCCCAGCCTGATCCCGCCTTTCCAGCCCCTGGAGCCACGGCCACAGGGAAAGGCCTGGAGCAGAGCAGGGGTTGGGGTGCCCCCTGTGCAGCTGCTGGGGAGACACGGACTTTGCAGCAGCTGCATTGTACACACTGTGTGTGTGACTGCAACGCACAGCGCATGCAATGTGGACGCTGGGCAAGTCGCTCACGGCAGAGCCACCTGGGCTGGGGCACGGGATGGGGTGGGACAGCCCTCCCTCCTCCCATTTCCCATCCACCCAGCCCTACATCCATCCATCCCTACATCCATCCATCCACCCATCTCCCATGCACCCATCCACCCATCCCTACATCCATCCATCCCTATATCCATCCATCCACCCATCTCCCATCCACCCATCCACCCATTCCTACATCCATCCATCCATCCTTGCATCCATCCATCCATCCATCCATTCATCCATCCCTCCATCCATCCACCCATCCATCCACCCATCCATCCATCCATCCATCCATC